TCTCCATATCATTACCCCTTTTCAAATAATAGTAGAAAGAAAGGCTAAATCCAATGTATATAGAGTATCAAACCTTATATGGTAATAAAACTAGCAATGATATAGCTATAATATCAGATAAGATTATGAGATTACAATTATGATGTATTGTTAGATGAATAAGTATCTACAATGTTACTTATGGACTCCTAATAGAAAATGGTGAATCATAAAATAATACTTCATGATTGAAAGCATGCAATACCATGTGATACTGTAAAGTACATAATTTTGATAATAAAATTAAACATTTGAAATGTTGAATTTGCAACTAAGATAGAAAACCTAACATCTTAATTTGATTGAATATCTTAATTTATTTAGAGATAAATCTCCTCTCTTGATTAGTGGTGGGACTACATGCAGACCAAGTAGGGCCATGCCACCTGGTCTTTTGAAAACTTTTCAATTAGCACCTAGAAAAATATCAATATCAGTTTATGCTTTTAAACTTAATATAAGAATTTATTAAAAATATCTGAGAAATTTTTTGATTATATATACGGGTTCTCTTTTAATTTCATCCTCTATTGTTTTGTATCGTGCATGTGGGTTGAGTAATCTTGTACTCTCTTGTTAATATATTGATAGTTTGCTGTTAAAAAAAATATAAATATACATATGGAGAATAATATAGACACTCTTCAATTTAACACACTTCACAAGAAACTCATTAAAAATTACTGTTTTTCAATCTAGAATTAAAGACGAAAACATTTAAACTTATAGTTATGCATACAGCATGTAGGAATCGACTAAACTAGCTATAATTATATTATGTTTTAATGATTGAACCGAATAGATGTCAAAGAATGTGTCAAGCCAAAAGGTGAATCAATCATTTTCCTATACAAATTCTATTATATATTTTCTTTTTCTTTTTTCTTACTTTTATTATTCTAACATTTTGGACTGCATTACAATTTTTTGAATTTTTTTTTTGATGTACCATTACGTTAATTATATTGGCTATCTTTCTTTTCTTTTACTTTTGTGCTATAATTATTCAACATAATTAAGTTAATTAAGAAATGGTGCAACCCTAAATCAACCTTTACACAAGTAGAAGCTCTACTCTCAAAACTCTTTATCTTTGTTAGTGGTAACAAAGTGATCTTGTCTGTCTGTAATTCCTTATTAGTTCTTACATTTTTATTTCCATGTTCTTAGTTCTTACTTCAATCTAGTAGATTGATACTATCATTTTGATGTCTTTAATATTAGTGTGTTTTATATTTGTGTGTTCTAGAACTTGATGTTCAAATATTTTACCTTATCAAATATATTTAAAATAGTGTTAAAAGTATATTAATTTGGTCAAAACCACGTTAATCCTATTTAAATTGGATTGGTTTGGTTATAATATAATAGTGGATTGAATTGTTTTGAAAATTTTATTAATCATTTAAATTGATTTGATTTTAAAAGGATAATGATATACAATACCAAAATTTTGCTACCAATGACATGGTATAAAATATATCATTTAAAATATTAAAAAGTAGATCTTATATTATTTAATGAGTGACACTTTTCATTTTATTGAGATCCATAATATATTACATGTATAAATTTATTTAATGACGTGATTTATACTATATTATTAATCTCAAATTTTCATCCGTTATATCACGCGTAACAATATGTTAACAGCATTTAATGACAGTATTTTATAAAAACTTTACCTTTTGGTATTAAAAGGACTAATGGTTAAAAAGTAAAAGATAGGCAACTTTTATTATTTATTAAGTGTTGAATAAGGTATTGATTGAGTTATTGCTGATTGACATTTTTATTTAACGTGAATGGTTTAAACATCAAGATACACCAAAATTTTTAGCCTATCATGGCACCTCATTTTGCACTTTTGAAGTCTTAGTCATGGTTTGTTCAAATAAGCCAGTTACATCACCACCACAAACACACAAACTGCAACCTCCTATTGGGCCATTGCATTTGCATTTTGGACTACCACAATCAGAGTCTTTAGTGCATGGAATACTCACATTTCTTGCTTCCGTTATTGCTTGCAGACTTATAGCAAAGATAAATAATTCATTTCTGTTAGCAAAATACAAAACTTATCAGAATTTCATAATGAATTATCTTGGTACCATAATTAGATGTCAAAATAAGAGTCATCGATCAAAAACTTTTCAATAGAACAAAAAATGCTATAAAAAATCAAAGATAGCTGCTAAATTACCAAGTGAAAATATAAAGAAAGCGACTAAAACGAACTTGACTGAGAGCTTCTCCATATTTTTTTCTAGTGTTGCTATTGTTGTATTTCTATTAATTGTTTGCTTGAGATAAAAGATGAGTAATACCTTCCAGTCTTCAAAGCTTCAAGTTTATATAGCTAATCTATCTACCATTTATGTAGAGAAATCTATAAATTAAGTTAGGAAATCTAGTTAGATTCTATTACGTTTCCTTTTCACAGAAATCTACGAATTTAAGTTAGGAAGCCTAGGTAGACGATTTTTTTCCATTTTCCTTTTCACTTTGAAAATGATTTAGCGACAGTTTTTTGTATAACTTTTTTATACAACCATATGTATTATTTAATGATTTGTTCTTTCTATTCAAGGGTCCACTTGTAATGTAATTTGCATCTATTCATTTAATAATAGGTGAAAGTCATCTTCGTATCAATACCCCTTTTCAAATAATAGTAGAAAGAAAGGCTAAATCCAATGTATATAGAGTAATCAAACCTTATATGGTAAAAAAACTAGCAATGATATAGCTATAACCTCACATAAGATTATAAGATTACAATTATGATGTATTGTTAAATGAATGAATATATACAATATTACTAATGGACACCTAATTGAAAATAGTCAATCAAAAAATAATACTTCATGATTGAAAACATGCAATACCATATGATATTGTAAAGTATATAATTTTGATAATAAAATTAAACATTAGAAACATTGAATTAGCAATCTAAGGTAGAGAACCTAGCATCTTAAGTTGATTGAACATCTTAATTTATTTAGAGATAAATCTCCTCTCTTGATTAGTGGTGGGGCTACATGTAGACCAAGAGGGACCATGCCCCCTGGTCTTTTGAAAAATTTTCAATTAGCACCTAGAAAAATATCAATATCAGTCTAAGCCTTTAAACAAAAAATAAGAATTTGTTAAAAATATTTGAGAAATTATTTGATTATATCTATGGGTTTTCTTTTAATTTCATTTAATTAAATGTGGCTTTAATATTTAGCATAGGTTTTTTTAAAATGGTTCCATCATGTTTACCAAGAAAGAATTTATCTAGAGAGAGATGATCAGAATAAAATCTCCTTTCTTGATTCTCGAGTTTTCTTTTTGGTTCATAATCAAAGTCTCAATGCATTTCTTTTCTCCCTAACTTTTTTTTATTTGCAAAAATAAAATTTTATTATATGGAGCGAAATAGGTACTCTTGCCCATTTACAAAAATAAAACCACAACTAATTCCAAACAATGTAAACCATCTAGCAAAAATGCTAAACATCAAAAACCATAATTTAAAAATAGAATGCCACATATGCTCTTCATACTCCACTTGTTGCAGCTTATCAATTAGCTCCAACAATTGTTTCCAACAATAAAAGAATCCAGCACACTTAATCGAGCCTCATTCTTCATGCACACCTTTATTGCAAAGCTTGTTGCAGCTTCTTATAACTCTTTAAAATTTTGCAATGTTGAACAATGGATTCCGTATTGTCCATAGGCCTTGATATCCAATCCATGTAAGAGAACACATCACTTAGTTTCTTATTTTTAAGCCATAGAAAAGATTTAGTGTGAATAAACTCCAATAACTACACGTTAGACATCACATCTGTCCCAAACACTTTCGAATTCCTCCAATACTAGACAAACCAAGTGGTAACCAAAAAAATGAGAGCCCCTAAATCCTTCAGACGTCCCCTACTTATGCCATACACCGCCAACTCCACCAAACCGAAGATATCGTTTGGCAAGACACTTTGCAAACCCCACCATCCCAAAACCTTCGTCCATACTAACCAAACCCCTTTACACTCACAAAAAATATGATGAAGCTGCTGTTGACTCAATGTACTCCAAGAGGGGGGTGAATTGGAGTTCCAAAAATTCTCCCCTTTTTGCAACCACAAAACCAAAATTAAAGAGAGTAGAGAAGAAGAGCTTGCTCAATGATTTATAGAGGTTCGGATCCAACCACTTGGATCCTAGTCCTCTACCTTGGCTTCACTCACCAAGGATTTCCTCCACACTCTCCACTAACAACAACAAGGGTGGCTTAAAGGAGCCACTCAATCCTTTTACAACAAGATGAGTATTTCTCTCAAACCTCACCCATTTACAATGTAAGCCCCACAAATCCTCTCAATAGATCACTCTTGAAGGAATCAACACACCCTCAAGATTACTCACTAATAGCACAAGAAGAGGATTACAAGCAATGATCACTCAAAGATCAAAAACTCAAGTTAAAGCTCTAGTGGGTAGGTAAAGATATTCAATGCAATGTTCTCCAACCTTCTTCAGATCTGTTACCAACCATATTTATAGCCCATTGCTTGAAAATAGCCGTTTCTAGCCGTTGGGGGTCATTAAATGCTCTGCAGGACACAAAGCTCGAGCTGCAGAATTGTCAGGAGAGCCGGCTTAACATATTAGAGCCGGCTCTGCAGAGCCGGCTTACATTTCCAGAGCCGGCTATCCGGGTCTGCAGACCATTCTGTTTTTCTCGGGAGCCGGCTGCAAAACTTTGAGCCGGCTTTGCAATTCTGACTTTAAATACATTAATAATCTTCAAATGACTCGACCGTTGTGCATTAAATGCATCCTCACAGCCGGCTACAAAGCCAGAGCCGGCTTTGCGCCTTTTCTCCGCGCGCGCCAAACAACGGTCTTCAAATTTTTTGCCTGTAGAGCCGGCTGCAGCTTCCAGAGCCGGCTTTCTGCATTCCATTTCACCAGAGCCGGCTGCACTTTACCAGAGCCGGCTCTCTGCACATTGAATCCTTTTAGTCTATTTTTAGTGCCATCCAAGTTTACTTACAATCTTTTAGCAACTTAACTACACACTTAAATAAACCAATTAGTCACTCAAATGTGTTTTGTAATCATCAAAATCATAAGTACAACAATCTCCCCCTTTTTTATGATGACAAAACACTTTGAGAATTAATTAATGAGAGCACAAATACTTCAATATTAACCAGAATTTCAGCACAAAGATAAAGCAAATATATACTTCAATATTAGCTAGAATCTCAGCACAAAGATACTCTAGAATATGACATTAAATTCAGCATATACTTCTCTCCCTTTTTGTCATTCATCAAAAAAAACACATAATCAACAAACTCCCCCTTAATTCATGCACATCAATGATAACCATTAAGAAGAGCAATTTAAGCACTAAATACTCCCCCTCAATAAAAGCATAGGATCATCAAAATCATAAACAACCCATTCACAAAGCATGATAACACAAGTAATGCCATTTCCATTCATAAAACATAAAATGCATAAAAAGGTTCAAGACATATCCATAGTCAAATAAAACATAACATACATAACCTTAAGATGTCCATCCTAAAGATTAGCCAAACTAAAGAAATATCAAGTCAGTTGGCATCAGGTGGGGGTGGAGGAAAAAAATGGTTAATAAGCTGATCAAGCTTTCCTCTCATTTCTGTCCGGAAACCATAAAAGTCGGTGTGCAGCTGCTGCATTTCAGATATCATTAACTCCATGGTTTCACGGTTTGTCCTTTGCA